GAGAACGCTAAATAGTTGTACTAGTACGAAATTGTAGTCCAGAGGTGGACTACTCACACCTGACCAGGACATAAAGGATGAATTATTGGTGAAGATGATGATGAATTCAACTCCAGAGTGCCAGAGTAGGACACGGACCCTCATCATCAACTATATATAGGCCCGCTCTTGCATGCCGATGGCATGCATGGCATCGTCAAAGCACCGTCGAAAATGCTCCATGCCGCTCGTCGGCAGTGAGATCCCTACCTCGATGCCGCCATGCCCGTCTCGCGCCTCCGCCATTGACATCGCGCCGGTCTTTGCCACTGACACCACGTCCACCTTCGCCGGCGGCCCAAACCCGAAATCAATGCCGTACACGCGGAACCTTGGCGAACCGGCGACGGAGAACAGACCAACCTTCGCCGCCTCCTTCACCCGCTCAACACACCCGTCCCACCTGTCTTGTGACCCCTCGCCCACCTCTTCCTGGAGGGCATCAGCGATCGCCATGAACGCCGCAACGAGGCCCTCCGTGCCGGGAGCCGCAAGCTCGCCATGGCGCGCGGCGGCGATGGCCGGACCTAGGCAGTTGCCCAGGTACCTGTCAGGGACGGGCGGCTTCAACCGGGTCCGGTGATCAACGGAGAAAAGGAAGTAGGTTGTTTTAGTTTGGTTCTGTTCCTGCTTGGCCCGGCAGTAGCAGGACCACATGAAACTAAAGGCGGCGAGCAGCGACGAGCATCTGGGAGGCGGCGCGCCCTGCCTGGCAGCCTCACGGGCGACCGTGTCCTTGATGCCACGCAGGAGCTCCTGAGGCAGCGTGAACGTGCCGAGGAGCTGGTCGTCGGGGACAGAGGAGACGCTGCTGCTCACGAACTCAATCTCGCTGCCGTCGCTCGGCAATCCTTTGGAGTAGATGTCGTAGAGGCCCCTGGGATCGGCGATGAGAGTGCGGTCGATGACTGGCGGCGGCGGCGGCATTTCGGCAGCACCGGCGCAGAGGGCGGCCCATGTGTGGAGGAAGTGGGTGGAGCTGGCGCCGTCACAGGCGGAGTGGTGCAAGGTGACACCCAGAGCGACGCCCCTCCCCCCGAGCAGCACCGTGGCCTGCACGGCGAGCACCGCACGGCCCTTCGGCAGCGGCGGCACGAGGGGCGCGAGCTTGGCCACCTGGACAGGCTCGGCGTGGGCAAGGTCTTGTTCGATGTCGGAGTCGTACTCGGCGACGGTGAAGGCGACGCCGTCGCCGGGCTGGTAGAAGAGCTCGTAGCGGTTGCTGTCCGGGGCGAGACGAACGTGGCCGGCGAGCGGGTAGAAGAGGGTGAGGGCCTTGGAGAGGGAGGCCTTGAGGTCGGAGATGAGCTGGTCGACGTTGTGGTTGTGCTGGAGGCGGTAGAGGAAGAGTCGCTGGACGGGCGGCGGGCGGAGCCATTTGACGTCGAAGAAGGTGAGCGGGAGGGAGCGTGGCGGGAGGTCGAGGTCGGACGGCCTCACCACGCCAGCGTCCACGACGCGGAGGTCGTTGCTGTTGGCGCCCATGTTGGTCGATCCGTGAAACTTTGCCGGGGGTGTGTGGATGAATCTATCTTTCACCTTGAGTTACGTACATTTTATACCACCGTTTTGGTGCAAGCTAGAGGTAGCTAGGTAGCGAGCAACGTGGTAAATTTGGTACGGGAGCAAAGCACGTGCTGGTTGGTTGGGCTCTTTGAGTGAACGCCTCCGTTTGTTGTGTACTGTGCTCTCTCTCTTGTCCGCTCATTTCAACGGTTCATCTCAGTGTTTGAGAATGCACCGGTGGTCAACCTCAGTGTTTGAAAAGGACCTGACATCTTTTCACGTACCGCTGGCTGATAATAACTCCTTTGGGTCCTATATTAAAGCATCCCATATGCACTTCCGCGTTTGGCTGATATATAATCCTTTTGTATATTCAATTTCGTCATATCAAATATAATGGTCACTACAAGATTTTGAGTCTATTTATCTTTAAACATGTAAATTTGAGGTGTCGTCCTCCTCTTTATTTGAATTGGTTAATGGGAACCCACAAACTAAAACGATGGTTTATGATTGCTTGATTCTAAACAGTTTCCTTAGTTTTTCCAAGGAATAAAATTCTAAGAACGGAATAGTTAGTTCATAAATGAAAAATCACATTGTATTTGGAATACGAAAATTTCTATAACCATTGATGTTTTCTTTTGTGAACTGAGCATAGCTCAGATGGTTAGGTTCCTTGTGGAAAAACCAAGGGGTCTTACAACCCTGGAATCGTGCATGGTCGTGCGTTGAGATGTACGGCTTAAGTCGTGACGGGTCCTTGACGTTTTGTGTCTTGCCTCCTTGCAATTCATAGCTAGAGGTTGGCAAGGCGAGTCCATTGGTTGTAATCGTAGTGTGAGTAACGTTGTAAGCTGATATGCATGGTATCCGCTTCATCAACATGCTTTTTCCTTAATGGATGATACACATGCTATGCATAATCCTGAAAGAAATAACTAACTCTTATAGTCTCACGGATCCTCATTCAACCAGCATAAAAGATCATGACGTTATTAAATTCATGCTACAGCCACTTGCTCCAAAAGTCCGAACTATGAGTGAGAGTCGGATATTATACTCCAACACTCCCTCTCACGTCTATGCTCATTTGGAGTTATGACGTGGGCAGCGGAACCGGGGGCAGGCCACAATTATTTATTTCGTTTACTGAGTTTTGTACCCTAAATTTCTTGGCCGTAAGTTGTATGCACCTAACTAGTTCACCCATGAGTCCGAACTTTGAGAGAGGGTCGGACATTATAGTGTTATAGACGTAACATATGCTATGCATTGGTTGAATAGTCATGGCATGCTCATTATTGTGGGTAGTTTAGAAATTGATCCTCTGTTGTAACATTATTTCCTGAACGAGGTATCTTCTAGAAGTAGTATTCAAACCATTTCCTAGAAACATGATTCAACTATCCAGGTATATAAGTGCTTTGGTCTTTAGCAAATCACTCCAACAATTTGAATCCCCAGCACGATACTTCAGATGAGGTTAACATGCATTCTAGATTTGGAGATGTTTCCTTCTCACAATATCACGACATATCCTTTGCCATGTCTATAGAGTGGCTTGAATGACACATATCATTGGCTTCACACATCTTCGGCTCGCTTCAGTAATTGTAGTGATCGCTAGGTGGTCTACGAATTTGGTTGTAATTTTTGTTATTTATGGTATTTGTTATACTATCAAGATTGATGATGAATAGATTGACAGTTTTCCCGCAAAAATAAAATAAAAATACAGTGCATATTGAACTTTTTAAAAGCTGAACTTTCCAACGTTCGAACAACTTTATAGAAGAATCTATCAACCAGTGTAATACCAAATATTTTCTTATGAATTGTAAATATTGATAGTTTCTACAGAATTGGTCAAATATATACACGCTTGACTTTTGAAAGAAATTAATACAAACTAGTATATTTGATTTTATTTTATATTAGAAGGGACCTTGGAGTACTACCATAAAGAACATCGACAAGCATGAAAGGACATTGGTACTATAATATTTTATTTTACATTCGAGCATCGAACTTTTGAAGGGTCTTGGTACTACAATAAAGACTTTTCTCGCTAAAAGAGATGTCTTATTGCATCCCGATGGCGCGCATGGCTTCGACAAAGCACCGTTGAAAATTCTCCATGCCGTCCGCCAGAAACGAGAGCGCCACCTCGACACCGCCACCACCGTCATGCGCATCTGCCACCGGCATCGAGCCGGTGGCAGTCGCAGACATGGCCACCACCTTCACCGGCCGCCCGAAACCAAAGTCGATGTCATACACGCGGAACTTGGGTGACCCCACCACAAACACCATGCCGGCCTTCGCGGCTTCCTTCACCCTCTCGATGCATCCGTCCCACCTCTCCTGCGAACCCTCGCCCACCTCTTCCTCCAGCGCGCCCGCGATCGCCGTGAACGCCGTGAAAAGACCTCCCGTGCCGGCTGCCGCGAGCTTGTCGTGGCGCGCGGCGGCGATGGCCGGGCTACAACAGTTGCCGAAGTATTTGGCAGGGACTGGCGGCTTCAACCGGGTCCGGTGATCCACGGAGAAAAGGAGGTGGGTTGTTTTTGTTTGGTTTTGTTCATTTTTGGCTCGGCAGTAGCAGGACCAGATGAAGCTGTAGGCGCTGAGCATGGATGAGTATCTGCGCGACGGTGCACCGTGCTTGGCCGCCTCTCCGGCAAGCGCGTCCTTGATGGCAGTTAGGAGCTCTTGAGTCAGCGTGAATGTGGCGACGAGCTGGCCGTCGGGAACAGAGGACACGCTGCTGGTCACGAACTCGATCTCACTGCCGTCGCTCGGCATTCCTTTGGAGTAGATGTCGTAGAGTCCCCTGGGATCAGCGACGAGCGTGCGGTCGATGACGGGCGGCGGCGGCATTTCAACAGCGCCGTTGCAGACGGCGGCCCAAGTGTGCAGGAAGTGGGTGGAGCTGGCGCCGTCGCCGGCGGAGTGGTGCACGGTGACACCCAGAGCGACGCCCCTCCCCCCGAGCAGCACCGTGGCCTGCACGGCGAGCACCGCGCGGCCCTTCGGCAGCGGCGGCACGAGGGGCGCGAGCCTGGCGACCTGCACGGGCTCGCCGTCGGAGGGACGGGCAAGGTCGTTGACGTCGGCGTCGTACTCGGCGGTGGTGAAGGGGACGCCGTCGCCGGGCTGGTAGAAGAGCTCGTAGCGGTTATTGCTGTTGGGGGCGAGGCGGACGTGGCCGGCGAGCGGGTAGAAGAGGGTGAGGGCCTTGGAGAGGGAGGCCTTGACGTCGGAGATGAGCTGCTCGGCGTTGTGGCTGCCGTGGAGGCGGTAGAGGAAGAGGCGCTGGACGGGCGGCGGGCGGAGCCACTTGACGTCGAAGAAGGTGAGCGGAATGGAGCGCGGCGGGAGGTCGAGGTCGGACGGCCTGACCACGGCAGCGTCCAGGACGCGGAGTTCGTTGCTGTTGGCACCCATGTTGGTCGATCGGCGAAACTTTGGTCGGATGAGAATCTACCTTTCACCCTTGAGTACCTTGCGTGGATGTTATATTACCGCCTTGGTGCAGGAGGTAGCTAGGTCGCGAGCAGCGTGGTACAGGAGCAAAGCACGTGCCGGTTGGTTGGGTTCAAACGCCTCCGTTTGTTGTGCTCTCTCGTCCGCTCGTTTCAACTGCCATGCATGCGTCCACCTAGACCTTTTATTATTATTATTTCCGTCCACCTAGACCTAGGAGGTACCAAGCATGGCATCTAGCATCGCAGCCAGCAGTTCATCTCAGTGTTTGAGGATGAACCAATGATCAACCTGACTTCTTTTTATGTACAGCTGGCTGATAATAAAGCATCCCATATGCACTTTCGTGTTTGGCTGATATATACTTCCTTTGTATATTCAATTTCGTCGTATGAAATATAAAATTGCACTTTAAAGGATCCAAAATCTTTAAAGGACCAAAAAAACTTAAAAGTTGCACACAACTCTGCACTCAAATTGCACTTTTTGGAATATTCACATAATGAGCATACAATAGTGTATTTTTTTGCATTCTACTACGCACATATAGTTTAGTACTTGTGTGTGTACTCACACACTGAAAAACAAAAAAAGAACTTGTGAGTTTTGAGTATATATACTAGTAAATTTGGCACAGGAGCAAAGCTCGTGCTGGTTGGTTTCAACGGCCGTGCAGCCTGAGTGTTTGAAACGGAACCAATGATCCATCTTAATGTTTGAGAAGGACCTGACTTCTTTTCATGTACTGCGCTGGCTGATTGAGAAGTATATATACCAACTCTTATTGGGTCCTTTACTCCTTTATTAAGGGATTTCAATATTGGGTCACTTTCTTGTTTCGCTGATATGTATACTACTCCACTCTTTTGTGTATTCAATTTCGTCATATCAATATAATATACTCCCTCCCTTCCATATTATAAGAACGTTTTCTTATATTATGGGACGGAAGGAGTAATTACTAGTCACTAAATTTTTTTGGATCTATTTTATCTTTTAAATTGCAAAATTTGAAGAGTCGTGCTCCTCTTTATTCGAATTGGTCATAGTGACCCACAAACTAAAATGATGGTCTATGCAAAAAAATAGCCCGCTCAGTTTTTCAAAGAATAAATCCTAAGACTGTAATAGTTAGTTCCCACAAAGAAAATAAATTGTAATAGTTAGTTCCCACAAAGAAAAGAGACTATAATAGTTCGTTCGACTCCTGTCCGGGGGTGAATTTTCGTGATCTTATCTGGGTGGGCTTCTTTTTGAAAAATATGTGTTGGGTGCTAATGCCTATGGATCTTTTTTTTTCTTGCATGCTACTAGGAACAAAAAAAAGATTAAGCCACACCTGCAGAAAAAAAGACTAAGCTACTACCTCCTTTTCAGTTCATTAAGCCCACATGTATCCCTAGGTCAACAATTTGATCAACATAATATGAGTTATTTATTATATAAATTATACTACCATAAGAAACTTCAAATGTTCTATTTTCTACTGGTATAATTTTTGTGATATATAATTCATATTACATTAATAAAATTAGCGGCTTAGAGACACACACATGACCTATAAAACCGGAGAGGAGTGAGTAGCTAATAAAAAGGTGAGTTTCATGATGAGCAAGTGCAACCCGCAAAATTACTATTCTCAAGCAAACATGGCGCAATGCAATAGAAAGGTGAAAGGAACAAACAAGCAATCCCTCAAATGTATTGCATATATTTACATTAAACAATAGCAGCACAATTTTCTAACAATGCGTGGCACAGGTGGGGAGTACTTCATGACTGCGCCAGGCCTGTCCTTCAAAAAACACGTCATCATTGCGGCCCAAAAATGGAACACGAAACCCTCAAGGAGAACCGTGTCAGCCAAAATGAATTCTCTACCAAAGTGGCATCTCGGACGGGCTCTGCCCAAACAGTGTCGTTTGTGAGTATTTTCAGAGTAGAGGAACAAATCCAGAAAACAAAATACACTTGTGCCACTACATGTACATGATGCTAGATAAGTGTGGAGTTCCACGGGATGTCCGAAAAGGAAGTGTTGAGCTCCACAGTTCAACTTAATGGTGGCACTCGTTCGGTCACTCCCCACTAACTCATGGCTTTGGCTTGTTGATCACACGTTTATTACCATAGAAGTTTCAAGACCATGCTGGTGAACATAATCATAACCATTGAAAGAAAGATGGCATGGAATTATATCAAATGTGTATTATCATCATGGATGCATGTACCAAGAGATAACGAGAGATAGATGGCATTAACACTAAAAATAGACACACCACAACAAGAATTCATCAATATGCCTGATATTTACTTTGTTAAGTACTCGATGTTCAACTAACAGACACCACAACAAGAATCCACTAATATGTCGGATATTTACTTACGTGAAGTACATGAGGTTCAAGTTATCTAGCTAAAAGACGGGTTATAAAATTCAACGGGGCCGTCCATGAAATCTATTGTTTTTATACCTCACTTATGTTCCGAAGTTAACTAATATAAGTTCGTTTTTAATTCAAGTTTCATGAAGCGCAAAATTTGAGGCCGACTTGGAAATCTTGTTCTATCAAATAGAACATAAAGATACAAAGTTCTGGTGTGAGTGCTACATTAAGTAAGCCTTGCACCATGATGAGTTGAGAATTAGAGAGGAAGAGATAATAGTATTTACATATCCTTTTGCATTGTTTACTACCCCTCACAACTATCAAGCTAAATTGAGTAGATGTCACTATATATGTGAGTATGTCATGTGCTAAACCCTATAACGGTATATGGATGTTGGCATGATGTTGGCCTATAGCAAACCTAAACTTGCTACCTTGATTGTGCTGATACCACGGTTTAATACATGATCTTATTGTGCTGGTATCACATGCCAGGATTATGTAATGCGTAGAGTACATGACTCTTTGATGAATATGTTTCTAAGCTCTCCACCAACCGAACCTTCATTTTCTTTCTTGGTATGATGGATCGGCCATGGAAAATTGTGGCTTTCACTTCTAGTATTTCCTAAGTTTTGTGCATTTATATTTTGTCCATTCAATGTTGCTATGAGCATGGCAGGCATAGGAATAGTTCCATGTCCCACTTTTCCCTTGATCTCTTCACTCCAGGTCCATTGTTCATGTACCATCAATTGACTTCCTCTGTTGATGTTACCTCTACACTAACAACCTGAAGGTGATGTCTCATCTTGCATCTTTTATTTTACTACCTATTACTCGAAATCATACTAAGATGCAACTGTTTTTCTAAAAAAAAATTTATTTGACATTGGTGGACAGATTGCTTCTTTGTTGGTTGTGATCATGTTTATGTGTTTGCTTAATTAAATTCATTGAGGGCCAATGCCATGCATCTGCATAGTGAAACTTCCATCTTCTGCCTACTCCATGGCAACATCAGACTCTAAAAGTACGTGCGCAAAAAATCTCTTGAGATCTCCAAAAATCATTCTAAGATGTTGCAAGACTTCAAACATGCCCACACAACAAAACTAATTAGGCACATAATAAATCCTATTTTGTTGCAAAAAAAGATGAAATGGGTTGCAACACATGCGACATGAAAAAACACATCAAACAAGAATAACACATGCAACAATGAACAGAACACATTGCAACAATACAACCCCATCAAGTAGACCTCTAGAACACTGCAATATCTCGCTCATGCATGTACACCAAGCAGCATATGTTCTTGCAGCAGGTCATACCCACTTAAATAACGTAAAAAATCGGTCGACTAATCCCTCACTGCCAATATCTAAGGCGCCATCTTTGCTGATGCGAGCGTGCTAACGGCGAGTCTAGCTTATTGGAGCCCCTTCGATGGTACATGCAGTGACACTAAAACCATTCTTCCCTGCTCGGCGGTGCGAGGTACCTCCATTTCAAGCTCCGACGGTGAGGTGCGCGATCTCTTTCATCTAGGGGAGGATGAATGGTGTAGGTGATCAAGGAGTAAGAGTAGGTCGACTCTATGGAAGAGAAGCATGACGATGTATGGAGGATAGAGTAGATATGGTATGTGCATGAGGTGGAGAGATGAGTGTGTAACGCCCCGAGACCGATGTGGCAGTTGTCGTCCAGTTATTCGCCGTCGTTGCCTTGTCATTTGCTTGCGTGTTGCATTGCATCATGTCATCATGCCATCATCTCATAAATCTTTTGCAACTCAACTAAATAAATGACATGGATCTTTGATCCATTTAAATCGAGGGAACTCGCATGGTGATGTCTCTTTATAACATATATTCTTCCACTATTATTAGGGAGCTATAAGTAATATTCCATTAACTTTGGAATCACCATAACACACTTGCAATTTAATTCCATGCCTCTTATGCTTCAAGTTGCACCTCCAAACTTTGCCAATAATTCTTT